ACAGTCCAGTGGAAATGATATTTGTTACACATTTGTGGGTAATAATATGAGTTAGGAATTTTTTGATGAAATCATTTATTGAAATAAATATTTATTATAAAAGTATTTTGACCATTTGGCTATGCATTGATAATAATTAGTGACACACATCATAGCAACAAAGTGGAAATTTTAAGGATGTAGGTATTTGATGTTAAATGAAAATTTACAGAACTTAAACATCTTACATATTATTTCTAAAATTACACCTAGAAAAAAAATAGAATGAAACTGTATAAGATCCTCATTTTATAATGTCTGAGGTGTAATCTTATAACTCATTTAATATACTCTAAGCCCCTAACTGCTCACTCTGGTTAAAAAGCGGAAACAACTGATAGTGACATACAATGAGGGGCAACTGCTTTAGGTACAAGTTTAGCAACTAGAAATAATGGCGAAGTAAAAGCAGTCATTTAAGTGCTATGGTCGGGTGAAAATGACCGGCTTAATGGGGCAGGAGATTTACTAAATAATTCTGTCCATGCTAGGCTCCGGAGGCCTGGCCAGATGGGCTGTTTGAAACCATCCTATCGCAAATAAAGGGGAAAGGATGAATATGTCACTAGCTCTTATTGTTCTTTACTATCTGGACTTAACTAATTTTAAATATCAGATCAAAACACTGCACAACTAAGGAATTCAACATTAAAGGGATATTGTCCCACGATAAGAAAAGCTGTTAAATTAGGGTGCAATTAGAGTTTTGGAATTAGATTTAGATCTGGTTTCTGAATTTTTTCTTAATTTAGAGACAGCTAGATCAATGTCATAAGGGCTGGGAACAAACTGATGATCATGCATCAATTATGTGTTGGGGAGGGCACTGCTTTCAATGGGATAAGCTCAAATGGTAAAGTGCTCTCGTAGCATCTGGAGGGTTCTATGATAAATACCCAAGTTTTCCTACTTGTACTTCTTTGTGGAAAAGTTTCATGGACTAATGCCTAATGTCCACTGTTGCTTCATGTTAGGCTGAAAGCTCCATGCAGGCAGGGCTGTGGCTGCTTTGTCCCTCAGCAGACCTTGATTCAGAATGTAATGGCTAGCAAAGTGAAAGACTAGCAAAGTGTCAAAGTGAAGACAGCAAGAGAACAATTAGATAGTAGAGAAGCCAGAATCAAAACGGTGTATATTCCCACCCTGCCAGACTGCCAGAATGGGAAGACATTGAACTTTCTAAAATGGCAAATGCAAACCTCCCAATCCACCATTTCTCAGTTGCAATAGTGCTAACAAATGGTACTATTCTCTGAATTTTTAATAGGGATTTGGTGGGGGAAGAGAAAAAATTGGGGTCACAAAGGGTTCAGAAATGCTATAATGCTATAATTTCAAACTCCCTTCCTCTTGAAATCTTTTTAACTTACTCTGACCCAAACAAGATTACTGTGGGGTACCCCAACTCCCTAGGGAGGGAGGTGGGCAGAGAATGTTTAGTTAAGCTCAACACACCATGACTAGTCATTTAGAATTAATTCAAGCCAGCAAGACAGGCAAATAAAACTGAAAACACAAAGTGACAGTACTTCCTCTGTGTTCTGGGCTGTCTTACTCTTCTGTACGTCTGACCCACCTCTGATCCTCAGTCTCAGGAGAACCCCAAGGTCTCCTGAGTTTACCCGCACCCCGCCCTGAAGCAGACATACAGCAGACAAATGAGGCTCACTCTGCCCTTAAGAGGGGTGTAAGTATGATGTTTGAATAGAAAATAGAATCTGGACAGGAATATGACAGTGTTAGAGTCACCTAGGGCCTAATGCTAGACTGTCATCCATTAGTCAATGAATCTCTTCATTTTTCTTTTAAATTGCCAGTCATGAGGTAACCCATTTCTTTCAAATGCTGAAAGAACAATCCAGCCACACTGGGCCAATTAGTTTTATGCAAAAATTACTTGCTCACTGACTCCTGATCAATTTGTGCCTATTCAACTAGGAAGGAGTCCTCTGGTTAAGGTTAGAGAGCCTACAGATTAGTGCTGTAAGTGGTTAAAGAGTTCAGATGCTAAAGAAAATGAAAAAAGTAAAGCTGGAAAATGTCAGGGTCAAAGTGGAAGGAAAAAAGGCTTTATTTTTATCTTTTACATTTGCCTCAGAAAAGCCCTTTTAATAAAGCCTATGGGAGAACCTAATTCTCTTCCCAGACCCAACCGCTAATCAATTCCCTGGGCTCTTTATATAAACAGCAGCAGTAGGTCTGATAGGGTTGGGTAATCTAGGACTATATCTAAACTGTTGTTTCATAACAAGGGGTCCACTTCTAGCTTCCCCATTTAATGAGATGGTAGAAGTATGTAGCACTTCATCTAATGGCTGAGTAAATTGGAAGGTAAATCTTAAAACAGTACATCAGAAAGAAAGCAGGGATTGTAGCCATCTCCTGCCGCTGTTTTCTGTTCTGTGGAACCTGACCAGAAGCCCTGACAACACTGACCCAAGGCTTTAAAAACACTGGCAGGACTTTGATGATGGTGTGACTGCCATGGTTAAATACATACTCCACTGCAGTGGAATCCATCTCCACCATGTGGCATTTATGACCACTTTTCAAAAGGTTTACTATCAAAATATATTTACACAACAGATACAAATTGTTAGAACTACAAAGAATCTAGATGTATGTTGTTCAAACCCCCTTAATTAATATTTGAGAAAATTAAGGTCCGCAGAGGTGAAATGATTTGTCTGAGGTCACTCAAACATGCACTAACTCATAAGAAATGAGAAGGATGGGGGCAGAAGTTAGGAAAATTGGGAACAGAATATGAGAAATTAGATTGGTTGGGTTGTTTTCTATACCTAAGTAAATATTAGCATTATAAAAATTTGTAATCCAGTACAATTCTAGAATTTTGGTAGGAGTCACTGAGCAGACTTAAGATACTAGTAAACCTGAAGCAATGGTAGTGATTTTTTTCCTTTTTAACAAACAGAAGGATTATAACACAACAGTGCTTACCACTGATATAAATGCTATGACTCAAAGTAGAAATTCGACTGAAGAAATAATGTTTTCTACTGACTGCACTTCTCCAGGCAAAATAGGTTTTGGTTCTTTTCAGCCCACAAAAGGCTTTCAAAGCTCATATTCTTGGGTGACTAAGCCAGGTGACCCCTAAGGAATACTTTCCCTTAAACTTGGCCTGTGCACTAATTCAACCGACAGAGGCTTGGCCGGGCATTATGCCACCATAATCCTACAGTGGGACCAGCATTATTCCCATTTATCCTCTAGCCTGGCTGACACTGTTGAAAGAAACCTTATTCTTCAGGTACCTCTAAGTTGGCATAAGTGAACTTTTGGGATCATTTTATATGATATATTCAATTATGAATTAAAGAGGTATCTCCTATTGTCTTAAGAAAATAACATAACTTGTTAGTGAGGCCAAATTCATATCATTTGCTACTTTCTGATACCAACAACTTGATATATAAAAGGAGAGGTGGAGAGGTAATCATAATCTACTTCATAGGGTGGTTGTGGTATGTAAAATGCTAACCAGTGCCTTAATCATCACAAGTACTCAATAAGGGCTGGGTAATATTAATATTGAAGGGTGACTGATTGCATTTTAGAGAGCTGAATGAGTCAGGTAGTTTTGAGATACTGAAAAATGCAGGAAGATATACATTGAGATACCTAGAAGGAAAGACACATGGTAAAGGACTGATGATGGAAAAAGTTAGAAGAAAAAAAAAATCAAAACATGGGATAACAAAGAACAGTAAATAAAAAACAACAATAACTGAAAAGCCCATCTGGATACTAGTTTTTTGCTCCCCTCAGTTCAGAGTTGATGAGACTTTTCTTAAGAGTAGCTTGTCCAGTTCTGAACTTTGAGGTGAAGAATTGAAGGTAGTACAGAGGAGAGCAATAAAAATAATTAAAGGGTTGGGATGCCGGCCATATTAAGAAAAGTTAAAAGGAGCTGGGGTTATTTGACCTAGAGAATAAAAGGCTGAGGAGGTTAATGACAAGATTCAAGACCAGAGAAAAATACTGTGCTGTGATGGTGAGTGGCTGGGGCACTGAGGACACAGCACAGAGGAGAAGACTCAGCACTCAGGCTGGCAGAGTCCATTGCAGGGCTTCCATGTGGGAACATGTGTGCAAAGAGGGGGGCCAGCTCTTCTTCGAATGGCATAGATGGAATGTGGTTCAGATTAAAACTTAGGTGACCTCAAATCTTATGTGGGTCATTCCCAAAAATATAAATTATTTGTAGTGCCTATAAGAAACCTTGCAAATTCTAAAATCCCCATACAATTAGGGAGTATATGGTCTATGTCAGTGGCTGGCAAACTCATTAATTAACAGAGCCAAATATCAACAGTACTTCTTCAAAATAGGCTCCCCCAGGCTGAAAACTGACTTCTGCACGTGGGCCACGAAGTTTCAATTGCATCACACTGTACGCGCACCCGCACGTGGTATTTTGTGGAAGAGACATACTCAAGGGGCCAAAGAGCCGCATGTGGCTCGCAAGCCGCAGTTTGCCGACCACAGGTCTATGGGATTCTGGGTGCTAAAAAGTCTGTTGTGTAAACTGCAAATGAACTGTACCTGACCCTATCAAAATGAACAAAAACACATGGACATAAGGAGCACCCAAGGATCATTCAATGGAAAAGTATAGTAATCATTGCTGACTCTCAAGCTTTGGAATAAATCAACATAAGGGTTTTTAGCTAGTTATACTGGGAGGGAAAAACTGATTTTGATGGCTTGAGTCTTCTATTCCTTTGTCAAACACACCAATTTGTCTCACTATTTCTAAAAAGGTGGTATTGGACAGTAAAAAAAAAAAATACATTTAAAGTGACAGGGATAGCAAATTCATAGTTTGTACTTAAATATAAATATAAAAATAATCTGGGATTTAGCCTGCTGATACAGAAATTAAGTGAGGATAAAAGGGAAAGAACGGGGGTTGGAAGTTGCTAGCTCACTCAGCAGCAAAGGGAAGGTGAAAGTCTCATTGCTGGTAACTTACTGGGCAGGAGCTGGACCCCGTGGGTATAGACATGAATTGTTGTTAAACCAAACTCCATGTATCTAAGCTAAGCACCAGGTCCCAAGAGCACTGGCTTTGTTCCAAAGAAATACTTATTAAAGACACTAGTGGAGCTTCTCAAAGCTGACTGTATTGTAGTTAGGTCAGCAATGGGAAAATTACAGAAGCAGGATTCTAACAAACTATGGAAAGATATTGATTAAGAGATTTGGTTCTTCAAGAGACTATTTTTGTGAGCATTTATGTTTCCAAATTAATATCCTTTCATCATTTACTATCCAGTGACTTATGTTACTAAACTGACCAAAGCCTCAAAGGGTTCATTCTCAGTCTTGACAATTCCCTTTGTTACTGTTAACAGTCACTGTGACTGAACTCTAAAATTGTTAGGGTCACTGCTCATAAAGGAGAGACTCATCTTGCTGGTCTGGTCCTCCTTCCCTTCAATCTGATGCATATGAGTGAACTGATGAGAAACATAATGGAAGTGGGGCAGGCTCTTAATTAATGGATGAGGATGAGGATCCATAAATGACATCACAATTGAGGTACGAAGGAGGCATAATCCTTATGCTTGCTATAAACACATCTTATACTTTTGTAATAAAATTCACCATTATGCAAAGATCCTCTGAAAATGGAAGCAAAAGCTGCAACAATAAGATTATCAACTCATAAATCCTACAAAAAGATTTTTGTAAAAATAATCCTACAAAAGTGCAAAACAAAAACCACACCATCCACCATTGAAATTACATCATCCAATGACAAAGAAAATACAATGGTACCACTCTTACAACTCACATAGTAAAATAACTTGACCAGATCTCAATATCATAAAATAATAACCATTAGCTAACACAGAATTCAGATTTATGAAAGAAATAAAAGCTTTAAATCTGTTCTTCACTTAACCAGTAGTCTGAAGAGAACAAATGATTTTTGACAATGTTATCTAAACTGTTCTGAAAACTAATTTTTGTGTTTTCATGAAATTAATATTACCAGTATTTACCTACAGTGATCTTGCAATATTCCCATCAATCAGCGAGAAGAAGAAAGATATATATACAAACCTACATATGGTCCACCGGGTTTAATAACTTTTGTGCTTCGGTTGCGGGATTCCTCCTCTGCCTGGGTCATTCTTTCTCGTGTCATCTGATACGAGTCGTTCGTTGCACACACTGTAATTTTATCTTGTATAAATCCTAGGCAATTGAGCTGGGAGGCTCCAGAGCTGTCAAGTAAGGCGATGGCTTTGTTAGACATGCCCCTCATTTTGTACAATAAAGTACAAGAAAGAATTGTACAATCCTAAAATCAGCAGCCCAAATAAGAACTGAAATCCTAAAATAACTAATATTAGTAATATTTAATTGTAAAGACTATTTAAAATATTTGAGTTTCTCTTCTTCATTTCATGTCACTTTTTTCCCCATTATTGTGAATAGAGTGGATGAAGTGAGCTCTCAGAGATAAAATCCATGAAATTTTTTGGGAAAATCAGCATTTGGAGTGAATACCAGAATCCTGATGAGTACTATAGTTCTTTCATTTAACAGTCAACTATTTTTAAGAATTAGCTACCACTGATATGAGAAACGTTAAAAGCTCACTTATAGTGGGACCATAATATACATGGTTGATAGAAAGACTAGATAAAACAAACACACCACAATTCTTTTGATTTTCAATAAGATATTAATTTTAAAGCTAAAATACTGCCACATTAAAACTTACTTATTATTACTATTAGCCCAAAGATTTTAAACATTTGTAGAATTTATATTTAACACTTTGTTAAATCTCTATATAAGCTGACCTATTTATATAGTAAATATTGAAGAAAATACTGGATAGATTTTGTCAGAAATAATTACCATGGCCTTAAAACAGATTGGACTATGAATGTAATGAAATACCATTGCAGCTCTGATACTCGATTTCCAAACTTATTTGGAAATAGCTTTGTTATAATGCTAAAAAATAGGAGTTAATAAAAATTTATTAAATTGCTAATAACTCTAAAATTGTCTGTACAAATGCTTTCAAAAAATCGGTTCATTTGTGTCATAAATATTTATGGAGCAGAGACTGCATGCCAGCAATGTGTGAGTACACAGGCTATGACAAGGACTGAGACAGATCTGGTCCCTCTTCCAAGGAGCTCTCTGCCTAATGGGTGACAAGGATGAGCAAACTGGAAATTATGACATGATGTGATAAATGCCAGGGGTAGAGAACTCCCAGGAAGTGCTGCATCTGGACGTGTGGGAGAGGGGAGAGGCAAAGGCTTCCTGGAAGAAGTGATGCTCAAGTGACCTAAAGGGATGACTAGACAAAGGGGAAGAAGGACAGCAATGTGCCAGAAGGATGATCAACCTGTGCAGACCCAGGGGGAGCAAGGAAGAGTTTTTCAGTTAAGCCAGAGGGAGTTATAAAGGACAATTAGAGATGAGGCTGAAGAGGGCCTGAGAAGTACAATACACAGGGCTTTGAGGCCCTGGTATGGATTTTGGACTTTATCCCAAGAATAAAAGAAGCTGAAAATATCTCCTTTGTATTACAGAAAGATCAATTTGGATAAAGAACAGATTGGGAGAAAGAAGGTAAGAGAGCAGTTAGGAGGCTACTGAAGAACTACAGGCAAGAAGTGATGACTTGAACCGGTGTAGGGTGGTGTGGATGCAAAATAGTAAACAGATTCCAGAGATAGCAAGGAGGCAGAATTGATAGGATTTGGTCAGTCACTGGCCATAAAGGGAGAGAGTGAGGAACAGAAGTTAACAGATTGTGCCCAGGTTACCAAATGTGTGGAGCTGACACTTATTGAGACACTGGGGTGGGGTTGGAAGAGAGAAAATAAGTTTTGTGTTGGACATGGTGACTGAAGAAATTAGGAGACATCTCGAGAGGGAACCAACTGTGAAGAATACTAATATTTAGAATAAGCAATAAGAAGATGAAAAGACCATAGGAGACTGAAAAGGTAAGCCAGAAAGTAAGCCAAGGAAACCAGAAAAGCAGTGTGTCATGGAAGCCACTGATACAGAATGCTTCAAGAATCAAAGTGGTCAACAGTGTGAAATGTTGGCAACAAATCTAGAGTAATAAGAAACTAATAAGCACTCACTGGATTCAGGGCAAGGAGGTCAAGGACTCCCATTGGGGAGCAGTTTCAATGGAATAATGGGGACTAAAGCCAGGCTTTGGCTCCAGAAGTGACTGCAAATGAGGTTATTTATCTTTATTTTCTTTTTTAATCAGACTCACCTGAGCATGTATGAATGCTGAGAAACCGATAAAGGAGGGGAATGAGAGAGGGAGGGAGAGATTTAAGCCTCAGGGGAATCAGGATGGAGAAGAAAAAGAGGAATAGAAGATTGCAATAGAGTACAGAAAAGACCAAAGGTGGCAGAAAGTTTGAATTCCAAGATCTCCCATTACTTACTATGTAATTTAATTAGTGAGAATAAACTGAATGTGTTGCCAATCACAATGAAGTTTTAGTTTGCACAATTCAAAGTGAGAATAAACTGAATGTGTTGCGAATCACAATGAAGTTTTAGTTTGCACAATTCAAGATTAAGTTAGAACTCTTTCAGTGATGTGTCTTATTTTATATCTCTGCCTACTATGCTCACTTGAAATACAACTTTCTCAACTTGCACAATTGAAGATCAAGAAACAGATCTTTACATGAAAACTAAACCCTGCAAGCAAGAAGGTACTCTCTAGAATTCCCATTCATTCCTTTTCAACTGAGGTATCTTAAAAGTTCAAATACACTGACATCCTATTCTATATAATAAAAGCCTAATATGCTAAGTGTCTGGTTGTCCACTCATCCGTTCAACCAATCAAAGCGTAATGTGCTAATGATATGCTAAGGCCGCTCAACCGCTTGCTATGACATGCACTGACCACCAGGAGGCAGAATCTCCGACTGGTAGGTTAGCTTGCTGCTGGGGTCTGGCTGATTGGGACTGAGTGATACGGGCTGGACACCCTGGAGCCCTCCCGCCGTCCCTCCCTGGCTGGCCAACCTCCCGCGTCCCTCCCTGGTCCCAATTGTGCACCGGTGGGGTCCCTCGGCCTGGTCTGTGCCCTCTCGCAATCCAGGACCCCTTGGCGGATGTTGGAGAGCCGGTTTCAGACTGATCCCGAAGGTCAGACCAGGGGAACTCACTGGTGCACAAATTCGTGCACCAGGCCTCTAGTATGTATATAAACATCCTATTGTCTTTCTCTATCCTAGCTCACTGTTTCCCATACTTGAGTGCCCCAAACTATGTATTTTCACAAGGTCTATGAATGAGCAATTTTAAGGAATTTTTGAAAAGTAAATTTGACTTTGGGATTTCCTCCATTTTACATAGGAGAAAGTGTGGTTTAAGGAGATTTATAAAGAAAGATAAGAAAGGAGATTAGTTAATATGTAGTTTTTGACCATCTATTTATTATGCATTTAATTTGAGCTCCACCAGCATTGTAAGACTAGAAAAAGGGCATAAGAAAGCCCCTGCCTTTGAGGAGCTTGCACAATTGCATGAAAGACAGGATCCATGGGAAAAATAAAAATGAAATCAAACAGAAAGGTGTATGCAGATTAAAAAGGTTTGCTTGCCAGGTTGAGAACTGAAAGTTTGAGTACTTTTGGTTTTTTAGTGGCAAATTTCAATTTATACCATACAACACCATTTTATAAAGCACTTTGAATCATACTTTTATACTTGGATCACACTTTTTATACAGCACACTTGGATCATATTATTGCATTTGCTCCAATTTTTTCAAAATAATTATTTCTTTTCTCTTGCTGTATCATGTATAGTTTTAAGTGACCTTAAATCAGTGGCTCTCAACCTTCTGGACCTTTAAATACAGTTCCTTATGTTGTGACCCAACCATAAAATTATTTTTGTTGCTACTACATAACTGTAATGTTGCTACTGTTATGAATTGTAATGTAAGTATCTGATATGCAGGATGGTCTTAGGCGACCCCTGTGAAAGGGTCGTTCGACCCCCAAAAGGGTCGTGACCCATAGGTTGAAAACCACTGCCTTAAATCCTTTTTCAAACAAGCAAAGTAGAAATAAGTACAAAGTATATTTGTGATGTAAGGGAGAAACCATATCACCTATGATGATATGACTGGTATTGAAGAGGGAATTAAGTTCTTTAACATGTTAAGCACCATTGGTGACTGACACTATACTTTCCATGTGGACCGGTCAGTCACTGGTGCTGCCAGCATATCGGTGAAGTCAGATATTGCGGGCTAAACAGAAAGGAAGACAAAACAGGCTTGGTGCTTAACATGTTAATAAAACTCCTAAGGGGACATTGTTCAATTTGATGTCAAAATGATATCACTATCCTATCCTATATAATAAAAGGCTAATATACAAATAGACCTAACAGCAGAACATCCAAACAACCAGTCGCTATGATGTGCACTGACC